GCACTTGGCCTTGTTGAACCTCACACAATTGGCCTCAGCCATCGATCCAGCCTGGCCAGGTCCCTCTGCAGAGCCTTCCCACCCTCAGGCAGATCAAATTAGTGTCATCTGCAAACTGACTAAGGGAGCACTCAATCCCCTCATCCAGATTATTGATAAAGATACAATCTTTAATATTAAAGATATTATAGATATTATCTGGGGAAGGACTTTTCACAAGAGCAGGTAGCAACAGAATGAGGGAGAATGGTTTTAAACTGGAAGAGGGGAGATTTAGACTGTATATTAGGAAGAAATTCTCCCCTGTGAGGCGGTGAGGCCCTGGCCCAGGTCACCCAGAGAAGCTGTGGGTGCCCCCTCCCTGGCAGTGCCCAAGGCCAGGTTGGACGGGGCTTGGAGCAGCCTGGGCTGGTGGAGGTGTCCCTGCCCATGGGGTTGGACTGGGGGGCTTTGAGGTCCTTTCCAACCTAAACCATTCTTTGATTCTATGATTCTATATTGAACAGAACTGGCCACAAAACCAAGCCTTGGGGAACACCCCTTGTGACTGGTCACAACTGGATTTAGCTCCATTCACCACAACTCTCTGTGCTCCCAGTTTTTGACCCAGCAAAGCATGTGCCCATCCAAGCCATGCCCAGCAGCTTCTCCAGGAGGATGCTGTGAGAGACGGTGTCAAAGGCCTTACTACAGTCCAGGCAGACAATGTCCACAGCCTTCCCCTGTCCACTGAGCAGTCACCTCGTCATAAAAAGAGGTAAGATCAGTCAAGTAGGACCTGCCCTTTCTGAACCCATGCTGGCTTGGCCTGATCGCTTGGTAGTCCTGCACATGCTGTGTGATGGCACTAATGAATGAATATATACAACAGTAATTCTGTTATTTCTTTCTCAGGTAAGCAATGGTACGTATATAGAGCAAAAAGACAGTAGAACACAATGTTGCAATAGAAAAAAAGATACAGACCTCGGAGGTTATAGTAACAATAGAAAAACAAAATCCTCATGATGTATACAAAAAGATCCTCTTAATATAAGCCCTAAAAATGTCAATTACCAATTCATTGTATAAAAACAGCAGAACCAGAAATGGAAAATTGCTATTCATTTCAAAAGCAATGCAATTGAGAATCAATGTTTCATAACCTGTAAGAAAATTCCAATGGAAATATTACTGACCAAAGCACATTGTGCCTTGTCTTGCCACACTGCTGGCAATTGACCTTGTGCTTTTCTATATTTAAGAAAAAGGAAAACCTATCACCATATAGGTCTGTTTTATGAGTATCTATTCTACAGCTTTTTGAAAGAAATTCCAGTATTAAATAGATAAAATATAAGATATCACATTAATGTGGACAATTAATATGAGCTATTATTCCTTAACAAGTACACTGAGAGCAAGACACACAGTTAAAAGTTTGTAGACACTAAAATTCCCCAGGAGATTTGGATTTCTCTCCATTTTCTTTCAGTTATGTTTTTAAACCTCAGCACACTGAGCCATGCAAGTAATCTAGAATTTGGAAGAAAATCAAACTTATTCTTATACTCACCAAGGAAACAACTAATGTGAAGAGCCAGGCATAGATGAAGAAGTAGTCTCCCCCTATTTTAATAATGTAAAGCAGAAGGGATGTCACTGGCAACAGAATACACTGAGTCACGATAAACTTCTTGATAGCATCCTTAAAAAAAAATCCCAGTGTCTGTAAAGAAAGGATATCAGTGATACTGTTAATATAAATATTGATGTGCCACAGTGGTAATGAACTGATCCCTTCAGTGGACGCACAGCAACAAAATAAGATGAATCACAAAACAGTAATACCAATGTGATCAGAACTCAGTCAGTCTAGAAAAGACAGAACCACACTTTCACCTCCTCCCCTGGTAGCTGTGACTCTTTACATCCACACTGACCCCAAGCCCATGCAGATGTACTATTCCTTAGTGAGATCTGACCCAAACCCTTATTTTGTGTTGCATGTATACCCTTCATTAAAGGAGGAAAGAAAAATTTAGCCTCATCTGTCCCTTAATTCCTTTACCAAATTATATACTAGACATTACGGGATTTTTAAAGCACAGGAAACCCTTAAAGAAACATAGCTACTCTAAAATACTTTGAACAGTTGCCTCCATTCCATTTAACTTTCAGTTACCACCAAGCTGACTGCCTTAACTGGAAACAAACAGAAGTTCTATTAAAGATTTTTAGATATATCTTGGGCATTTTACTTCAAGCTCCCAGTGACATGCAGGTACCAGTCATGTAGCTGTCTTAGGTTTTAAAATTAGCATAGCTTTAACAGAAGCAATAGAAATTTCAAAGACCTCCACCTGAATGATTCTGATCTACTGACTCTGAACAGGATCAAACACACAGCTAGCTCTTTCAGGAATTGCTACTTCAGCACTTACAGCTATCTGCAAGGCACAGAAGTGAGGGGATTATTATGTAAAGAACCTTCCCAACAAGGTTGTATCAAAAAGCCCACACTACCTTAAAGATATGGAACTCATCTGGAAAGATAATAAATACTGAAGCAGACTTAAATAAAAACTAGGGATCTGGGGCAAGAACTTGGACAGATGCCTCAAACTTCCATGACTACCGGAAACACAAATCAGACACAAACCCTCAATTATAGACTATTCTTTACACAGATATATTCACTCTGGTCACACAGATAGCACTCTGGTGATATATTCTTGCTCAGTGACCGTTAGTATGAGCAGTAACACAATTGTATAGACACATGCCCACACAAATGGAGCACTCCAGAAGATACTGTTCCTTGCCTGCTTTTCATATTCTGAGGTAGTGCGGGCTACCTTTTCCAGCAAAACAGTTCTGTAACTAGAAAAGCAAGACCTGTGGCTCTCATTCACACCAAGCTGTGCTCCTTGTATGGAGAAGTATGGAACAGTATGGAGAAGCATGAAAGAAACTTCGTGGGTCATCTTGGACAAAGGAAAAATTGTTTCCATTTGATCAAGACTCTTAAAATGGTACAAGCCAGGAGAGTGAAAACAAAATAACAGCATGTTCCTCCTTTATTACATCCTCAGCTCAGCCACGAAAAGGCCTGTTATATGGCTTTTTCCTTTTGTAGCTCAGTAAACAGCTGAAGAAACAGTCCATATAACCTAGAAGAACTCTTAACAGAAGAGTGGTGCCAGCAGTGTTTCCACTGGGTACTCTGAAACACATCAGTGACAATCCATTTAGCTCAGTTTTTTATTTTAACTCTTTCTTTACTTCCACAATCTAGGAGTAGAGCTATAAAACTGCACGGTGTCTTTCATCTTTGCCCTGCCTCTTTTCTGCTTTCTAAGACAGATGTCATTTCAAGATAAATCCTCATTTTCAGCAAGCCACTCCTGCAGAAGAAAGAATCTATCTGAAGATCATTTTAGAAGGACTGCTAGAAATTCCAAAGGCTGGAATTGTACCAGGTGCAAATTTGGCTCATTCAGTAAAGGAGTGAGTCCATCAGCCTGAAATGAAAGATGGAGATTTGACTGTGCAAGAGATTTGGTACCTCAAATCGGATTGGACCTGGACTCAGACTTCAGTTCTTGGCATGAGAACCACTGCAGTGAAAAACACCTTGTAAAAGACAGCATGCAGGTAGCTCGAACAAGCAGTTAACACCATCCACAGACGTCAGTGCCAAGTCTTCCTTTTCTCATTTGATCAGGCACAATGCTTGCACTGACAGCAGTGAAGCACCCAGAGAGCACAGCTTCAAAGAGAAAATGTTGAGAAGACACACCCAGAATCCCCCTTACTCTCCTTAAAGCATAGAAAAACCCCACATGGATTCTGCAGGCTCTCAAGACAGTTTTAAAGAAGCCTGAGCTGCAGTATTTGACCCTCCGCTTCTGCACAGAGGTAGGGCCTGATCAAGTCAAGCTCTCCATCCATCAGCTCGCCTATCAGTCTGCTCTAATCCTGGGACAAGTCCCAGTACTGACGGTCTTTGGACTTTTGTGTCCGGGATATAAAGGGCTTGCAGATCTGGCACCAAGATGGAACTGACTCCTCACTAAGGTAGGAGAGACAATCAAGGTGCAGGCATGATGTGACTGCTCAAGATTGACATAAGAGGCAACACTGAAAGATGGCTTTTGAAGTGTATTTAAGGATTCTGAATGTCAAAACGATGCCTAGGCTAGGCCAGGGCATAAGCACATTGCAAGAATTAGGATTCTCCCAGCCCTTACAGTTTTTTAGGACTACAGAACAGAAGCAAGAGCCAGAGAACAAACAAGTAAAGTCAAATAGGTATTTCCCCAAAGAAAATATTGCTTGACTCATGCTCTGGAAACATGGGAACATTCCTTCCTCCCTTGACAGAAGCAGGATGTTCGCCTGCCAGTGTGCTCCCTGTAAAGTCTGCGTAAGGGAAGGAGATCTTACGGGAAGGGACTATGGCTCAGAATCACCTCAGATACGAATGGCCATGTGCGCCATCATTCTGACGAGTATTTACTTGATGGTGATAGAAAAAAAGTGATTGTTAGAAGTTACACACACATTTTTAGAAGCACAATGGCTTTTCTACAAGACTAGAGAGCTATATGGAGTATAAAAAGTTCTGAGTTGGACACAAGTTCAAGGCCTATGACTGAGAGTCTTCAGACTGACTGGAGTAGGAGCTGTCATTGGCACAGTATCCAAACGTTGAGGGCGGGGGACACCAAACAGGCCTTGCAGCTTCCAGGAATACACAGAGATGTCAAGGCAAAACTCTGCAGTGATAATTTTCATAGCTGGGCTTCCTTGGAAAGAAAATAGCATGCCTCTAAATAACTGATGTGAGCCTGCCCTTTTTACAAGGGCAGGTAGCAACAGAATGAGGGGGAATGGTTTTAAACTGGAAGAGGGCAGATTTAGACTGGATATTGGGAAGAAATTCCTCCCTGTGAGGTGGTGAGGCCCTGGCCCAGGTTGCCCAGAGAAGCTGTGGGTGCCCCCTCCCTGGCAGTGCCCAAGGCCAGGTTGGATGGGGCTTGGAGCAGCCTGGGCTGGTGGAGGTGTCCCTGTCCATGGGGTTGGACTGGGGGGGCTGTGAGGACCCTCCCAACCCAAACCATGCTGTGATTTTATGAAAAAAATACAGGATATTTCAGGATCTACACATTTCTGTTTTAAAGATCACTAAGAGGGTGCAAACTGGATCATTTATTGCATGTAGAGCTTTTTTTCCCCCACGTATTTTCTTACTTGCTTTATAAAAAGGAAAAAGAAACATCAATTTATCAATTTACCAGGAATATAATGAGTTTAGATACAAACTTTTTCCATTTCTTTAGGTCTAGCTCAGACTTCCTGCATCCCTAGAAATTCAAAGAGGAAACTGGCAAATACCAGGGTATGTCTACATTTATTAAAATGAGCCAATGAGCTTTATCCCACATCTGCTACCCATCCAAATTTCATTCTACTGTAAAAAAAACAAACCCCTCCTACTAGACTTGGAACAGAAAGTACTGTAGACAACACTACCTGGGTCCAAAAGCAGAAAACAAACCTTATGCTATGGCAAGAAATGGCTGATGATGTGTCCCAGACTGAGGTTCCTCTCCCAGAAAGAATCATGATCTTACGAGAAACTGATACTGAAACGGGTTAAACTACGTTGGTGAGCGAAATAAAGAAAGCCAGAGCTGATATTAAATGAGTACCTAACAGAAGTACACAAGAAGAGCTGAATTCTCTACTTTAGTAAAGGCTGAAACAAAAAAATCAACAAGCAAAACAAAATGAGGAAAGAGTTTATTGGTTTTGTTTCATCTGTTCAGTGTCCATGAATCAGAACTATCCCCATCCAGACTGCTCAGGAAGAGTACATGAAGGGCACACTATAGCCCATCGAAAAATGAACAGCTGAGGTATGAAATGTTCTTGTTCTACTGCTAGAATACACACTTCTCTCTGCTCACAGGCATGGGCTTATGCAGAGGCATGCTGGTGTGGCACAGATAAGTGTGCAACAGTCACAAATTGTTATTGCTCTTATTTTTATGCAGTGTGAGTAGAAATGTTCCTAAAACTAATGACCTTTGGCACAGATATGGATATTCCATCTAACCAACCAAACCTACTGAAGACATTAGGTCAGTGCAGGGGCTATCTACAATACCTGTTGATTGAAGCCGTGTTTCTCTTCTATGACAAATGTGTTATATAAACTCCATGGGAGACCGGTCACTGCACTGAAGAGTGTTGCAAGCAGCAGAAATACCAATGACTGAACAATCTATAAAAAAACCAAACCAAACAACAAACTGATATTTACTAACCTTTACTAACATTAATATTCCAGGTGTTAAAAATTGATTTTATGTCAGTGTTTTAACTGAAACTGGTCAGAGGATGAAGCTGGATAAGTTCACGGAAATAACATGTTTGTGATGATGAGATTACTGATCACTGAAATAGCTTACTATATTAAAGAAAATAAATAAAAAACCAAACTGATTAAAGGTCCTGCACCTTGGTAGGGATAATCCTCACTATCAGTACAGACTGGGGGATGATGTGATAGAGAGCAGCTCTGCAGGAAAGGAGCTGGGGGTACTGGTGGATGAAAAATTAGACAATGGGCACTGACAGCCCAGAAACCAACCCCATCCTGGGCTGCATCCCCAGCAGTGTGGCCAGCAGGGCCAGGGAGGGGATTCTGCCCCTCCGCTCTGCTCTGCTCAGACCACACCTGCAGTGCTGTGTCCAGCTCTGGAGTCTCTAACACAAAAAGGCCATGGAGCTGCTGGAGCGGGTCCAGAGGAGGCCACGGAGATGCTCAGGGGCTGGAGCAGCTCTGCTATGGGGACAGCTGAGAGTTGGGGTTGTTCAGCCTGGAGAAGAGAAGGCTCCAGGGAGACCTCAGAGCCCCTTCCAATACCTGGAGGGGCTACAGAAAAGCTGGGGAAGGACTGTTTACAAGGGCATGGAGTGATAGAACGAGGGGTAATGGTTTTAGACTAGAAAAGGGCAGATTTATGTTGGATGTGAGGAAAAAGCTCTTCCCCATGAGGTGGTCGATCACTGGCACAGGTTGCCCAGAGGTGGTGCAGGCCCCGTCCCTGGAGATATTCAAGGCCAGGCTTGATGGGGCTGTGAGCAACCTGATCTGGTACCAATGTCCCTGCTGACTGCAGGGTTGGACTGGCTGAGCTGTAAAGGTCCCTTCCAACCCAACACAGTCTGTGATTCTGTGAAAGAGTTTTAACTGAAAACTAAGAATCTGTGACAAGAATTTGGATAGGTGTGTCATTCACAGCACAAAGACAACTTAAGCAGTAGCCTCAATTTTCTTATGCTTTTACTGCGCAGAAAGATCCCATCTAGGATTCATTAAAAGACAACACACAAACACCCCCTGCAAACCCAACCCACCACCTCATTTGATTCAAGTAGCTTTGAGACTTGTATGTTTATAACATACGAGGTTATTTTAATTTAGTAAGCTAATTTAAAAGTCACATATTGCTATCAATTCTCAGACTCACCCACTATTGTGTTCACTAGAAAATATTTGTTATTTTTACTATATTGTACCTGTAGTTAAATCCCACTTGAAGTAAACCAAGCTTAAAAATAAAGATTGTTATAACAGTATAGTTCACGTAGCAAATGTTTTCACTAAAATTTGAAGATTGCTTACCTCATATTCTGATCCAAACCCAGCACGACCAGAGATCTTACCAGACAGATTCCAGAGGAAAGGAATTCCTCCACAAAGGAGAATCATCTTGAAAACAAAAGCACAATACCACAGAGGCAATATGAAACAAATTATCATCTTATTCTACTAAAAGTTCAGCATGCTAAGGATTTATTAAGGGTGAATGAGAAAAGTTTTATAATTAAGCTTTTTGTCTCCCTCTGGCCCTAACAGCGCATAAAGCAAGCCTGGAACATTTGGCAATGGTTCATTTTTACTCAACAGTATTAGAGATCAGATCATGCTTTTTTTTGGTTTTTTTTGGACTGGGAAATATTAGCTTATTTCCAAGCCGATTTCCTGTAGACTTTGCTGCTATATTGGCTCAGACATAAGGTATATTTTTCAGACGACCTTAAAACTAATTTGCCCTGTGGTTGTACAGCAGACCAGCTCTAGGAGATGCTCCCCAGGGAAGTGGTGGAGTCACCATCCTTGGATGTACTTAAAAGCTGTCAAGGTATGGTGGTCAGGGACATGGTTTAGAAGTGCGCATGGCAGACTTAGTTAATGGTTGGACTTGATGATCTTAAAGGTCTTTTCCAACCAAATTATTCTGTGATTCTAAGTTCATCACTTAGTAGATCACACTAATGACATTTTGCGGTGCCAGGCATTTCAGGATTCCTTTTTGACCCATTTGTGCTACCAATGAGCAGTGCATTTCAGCAGTAAGTCAGAAAAAGCTTGTCTTAAGACTTGGTATATCACACATGTAAATTCTTTGTTTTAACTCAATGGCTTTGTTTTTTCATATATGTAAACATTATCTGTCCAGTGTAATTGTTCTTACACTTAAGAAGTATCCATTAGCGCTTTTTCTGTTCTTACATGCTTTTCTTTTTACTTTCTACTTAAATTTTTTCTAAAAATGAAAGTAGCTGCATCCCTCCAAACACACAAAAAGGTCTGTATTTGTAACAATTTAAAACAATTCTAATGTTGCTGAATTATTTGGCAGTGGAAACCGTAACAGGTCAGCTGTGCCACTAAAACATAGTAACAGAACATACACTGAGGTTGTGCAGTGACTCAGCAGTGCATAGAGAAATTATATGCTCTCTGAACAATTCCTTCTTTTTATATGCAAATACAGCCACAAACAAGAAACACAGAATCCTTCCAAATGTCAGTGTTTGATGTAAGACACCAGAATACCAACAGTGCAGCTGCACAGGATCACTAAAAAACAAAGTATTTCACAGCTTAAGTACATGAAAAGTATCACTCACTGGCAGAGCAGTTCAGGTACTTACAGTGCCCTCAACTTCCGAATACAGGCCTGACCAAAAGCTGAAAGTGCTTTTATCCAGCTGATACAGGCGAGATTTTTCAAATGTTTCTGAATCCATTATCTGTCCTAATTCCTGCGGTACGTGTGTTGTTGTTCTGTATACCCGTCTCTGGAAAGTTGAAAAAGAAACTTCAAGACCACGTCCATTATTTTTAAGGAGATAAATAAGATTTAAAAGTAACACATAACATGATCACATGGGCCAACACAAAGTTAAGAAAAAAACCCAAAAGTCAAACCAAACCAACAAACCCAAAAACCCTCAAAAAATAACAAATACTCCTAAATTCCTGTTTTCTGTCAAGTTCAAAAGATAACAATGAAGCACAAATATTAATCAGAAACTGAGCTGCCTAGTTGCCAACTTATTTATTTCCAGTATAGGAACTACATACAGATCACACAAACTCAGTTTTCCACAGGATATGATTTACTGCACCACGACAACTCAGCAGGGCTGAAAGTGAACACAAGGTCCTCCCACACAAACCAAACCACGCAGCTTCACCAGAAAACACATCTATAACGTGGCTGCACAAATCAGGTGCTATTTCACTTTTGGTAGAAAGCACATCACTTTTTTAAAGACTAGAAGGCCTGATTTCATCCACTGCTTTATTTATATGTAAATAAGTACATTTAAATATACTTATATACAGTATATTTATCCTGTCGCAAAGGAAAAGCTCCATCCTTTGTCATTTCAAACTACATTAATTCTCTGGCTGAGTACCAGGCTGCAGTCCTGCAGACAGCTCAGCTGCTCTGATGGCTCACCAGAACGTGCAGGGTTGCTTCCTGCCCTCCCACCAGCGCTTTCCCCAGATGCTGGACCTGGCTGGGATGGGCTCATTTCCCATGGCAGCCTGCACAGCCGCATGCTCTGCAGCTGTGGCCAAAGCAGCGCCGATGCCATCAGTGCTGGGGTCACGGCTGAACAGCAGCACCCAGCGAGCAGGCACCACAGCCAGAACAGCTGCCCTGAGCTGCCCAAAGGGACGTTCCATGCTGTGTAATGCCACACGGCAATAAAAACTGAAGAGGGAGAAGAAAGGGTGTGCGCGTGTGTGTGTAAACGCGTGTGTAACTTCTGAGGTGGCTTCTGTTTGGAGACTGGGCAAGCATTGACCTGCTTTGTAGGAGGTGGTGGGTGAATGCCTTTGCAACACTTGTGGGTACTTTTTCCCCCTCTTTCCTTAACTTATTAAACTTTCTTCACTTCAACCCATGAGTTTCCTCGCTTTTGCTCTTACTGATCTCTCACCCGTCCTGGGGTAGGAGGGTCGAGCTCTGGGTGGGTGCTGGGCTGCTCAGTTACCCCACCGGAACCCACCTTCTCAGATCCTTCTGTGAACTCGCCTAACTCCCTGATACCACCTCGCTAAAACACGCGGGACCTTGGCTCGTCTGAGGGAGCGCAGCTGGCCCGCAGATCAGCCGGGCTCCAGCACCAGGTGCC